AGAGAGAGAAAGAGAGAGAGAGAGAGAGAGAGAGAGTGGAAAGGAGTTACCTGTTGAGTGTTCGGCAGAGGCCAGAGCCACCACATATACATGTTGACACTGGTTCATCATTCGTTGATTTCAGATGCTAATTTAGAGTTCTTCATTTTGTGTTCATTTCGCATCTCATGTCTGGAGCTTGGTGTGACGATGTGTGCACTTTCATCGACGTTTGTAAATTTGCAGGTCTTCAACATCCTAGATGATCTTCCATTACACACCCAAGCCATAAAGCATACATAAAGGAAAGAACGGTTCCATTCACAAACGCCCAAGTACATGGGGCAATGTTTCTTCCAAAACCGTCCCAGTACAGAAAGTACAGAAAGTACAGAAGTTCAGAAAGCACAGAAAAGTAGTGAAGTACAGAGTATAGAAAGTACACGAAGTACCCAAGAGCCTAGCTCAGTGGGTAGTACACGAAGTACCCAAGAGCCTAGCTCAGTGGGTACACCCATGAACTGTTAAAATACAGACCTGTGTTCGAATCCAGATGATGGAAGATGAGTAAAACCAAATATTTCTGAATTGCCTGGGGCCGGTCAGCTCAATAATGATATCTCAAGGCCGTATCCTTTTATTAAAAAAAATAATAATAACAAAAAATTACACAAAATACACAGTCCAGAAAGTACAGAAACGTAGAGAAACGTACAGAAATGTACAGAAATGTACAGAAAAGTACAGAAAGTACACAAGACTTCACAAAGTACAGATGCACAGAAATGTACAGAAAGTACAGAAAGTTCAGAAAGTACAGAGAGTACACAGGGTATAGAAAGTACAGAGACAAAGAAATAGAAAAGAGAACACAAAGGACGGGAGGTAGAGAATGGGAGGGAGAGAGAGAGGGAGAGGTACTTTCTCTCACCTTGATCAAGTCACTCACAACAGTGTGCACATCTGTTGGTTTCTCGGCTTTCCCTTTCCAAACTTGGGTGTGATCCGGCACCCCCTCATAGTGGATGTAAATGCGCATCGCCATATTGATTTTCACCAGATATAGCAATCAGTGACGTACCATAAAAAAAAGTACTTTCCCCCCTGCCGATGTAAATGTACCTGCAAGGGACCATAAGCATCTCTGATCACCATCAAAAGTGTTCTCAAAGCTAGTACACGAATTGCTATATGTTCAAAGACATACAGTTTTCGGGGGAGAAAACAAAAGAACCAGTGCCCACGAACAACATACATCTGCACAGATTCTGCAGCACTGGAAACAAACACACCCTCGGACCATTTTCCCGCCGACTTGGTGTTCCATTTCCTCCCCCCCCTTCTCCTTCACCATCCCCTGTTGAACATCAGGCAGGATCTCTCTCTCTCTCTCTCTCTCTCTCTCTCTCTCTCTCTCTCTCTCTCTCTCTCTCTCTCTCTCTCTCTCTCTCTCT